GATGGTACCAAAATGAGAAAAATAAAGGAGAAATTTCAAAAAATGCCACTTTTCAAGTGCCACTTTACAAAAATGCCACACTTTTGAAATCTTTACAAAAATGCCACTTTTTCAAATTTTTTTTTTTTATATCATTTATGTTTGGGTTAATTATGTTCTATTAGGGTTTAGTTATGAGGGTTTATGAGGTTTTAGGGGTCAAAACATTTTTTAGGGTTTAGAATTTTTAGATATAGGCTTTATAAATCTATAATTAGTGTTATTTTTGCAAATGGGCATCCTTAAGTGGCATTCTTGCAAATGTGCACACAAAAAATGGCATTTTTGTAATTGTCCCAAAATAAAGACTTGACATCAAGAAAACAAAAATTCAAAAATCAAATTATAAAACAAACTTTTTGTTAGGACAACTCTCATCAAAACGTGAGACTAGATTTATTTGTTTTGGTACTATCTATCAATTTAATCCGAATAATTCCAATCTAATCTTTTTTGTGGATTGTTGGGTTCTACTTCATGGATTCTGCAATGAATGATCTCAGTTGGTTTAAGTATCTTTCAAAAGTCTTTTCGTTTCTTTGGGTCATGCACGACTTTAGCTATTTTTTCTTCTTAATTAATTAAGGATAAGATTAGTTTCGTTTTCTTGTCTGCTGCTTTCTGAAGATGAAGATCCATGTGAGTTCTTCTTATACAATTTAATGGTTTCTTTGACTAGTCATGTAACCAAAAATTGCTATTAATAGTGGTTAAATCGAAACAAGAATTTCGGCAGCCAAATCTATCTAATAGGCATTTCTTTTGGTAGACATACATGCATATCTTGTCACATCACTTAACCAAAAAGCTTAATGGCTAAAATATCTTGCCATATGAATTACGATTAGCTTTTTTTGTTATATCCAACTTTCATTCCACACTAATCCTTGCATAGAGACGTATATAACGATTGAAAACATAAATTCAACATCATATTGGTTATTAAAAAGCCTACTAACTACAAAATGTTTCTAAACATTTTTAACGTTAAAAATCAAAGCCAAACTCAACTGTAGGTACTCAAAAACCCGATAAGTTATTAAACTATTTGCATTTGCAATGTGATATCGGTTTTACGATACTTTCACACGATTTTTTTTTTTAACACAATCTTATACAGATTGCAAATAGTTTAATAGCTTATGATTAGTATTGTCACCACCTATGTTTAAAACCTCCATATCACATTATATCGACAACAACAACAAAAATTCTACACTAATTAATTTGAGCTATAAGTATATCGTATCTCTTCCTATAGAAATCATAGTGTATACATTATGAAACGATATTATTTTTGATAATGTATTTCATTTTCTTGTCTACACCTGAGACACGCATATCCTCAAAATTTGACACCGGTTATAGCAAAACGACGACATTAGTACAAACTACAAACCTTTAATCTTATCATCCTTAAATGATATCGTAAAGCAATAATCGCGTTTTAGTGTCTTTTTTATATCAAATAGAGTATTATATGAAATTGCACACACGAAACACAAATAGATAACAAAAAAAAATGTAATAAAGTGTTAATTTTTGTTTACGATTA